AAGTGGACCTGAAGTAGAGTCATAGTCCTGACAAACTTTGATGGAAGGCAGTGAGCCGTGGTGCGGCTAAGGTATAGCATAGAGCCCAGTTGAGTCGGGTATGGTAAGTGTGATCGGAGCAATGTTTATGTTGGCAGATTGGTCAGTGATTTTAATGGCCTCTTTTGCATTTGCACGTTCATGAATGCTAAAGCTAAATGCGCAATGGCTAGAGATTGTTTGGGTCTCTCGTATGGCCTGCACAGTATAAGCACGTACTCGGGACAGACCTTTTATAATAGGCTGAGTGACCACATCATACAGAGGTTCGATACGACAAATTTCATAATCGACAAGTCATACCTGCTGATATGATCCTCATTATTTACTGACCTGTTTCTGCGCCAACTGGCCACGACGTGGCTAGGAAAGCGGCCTGTTCGTTCAAGGATTAATGCCTCGGCAATCAATGACATTAGATGGCATTTAATTTGAATTTCAAACTATCGGTCCTGCACCACTGATTCACACTTGCTTACTGGCACTTCGGTCGATTTCATATGCGGCAGACGGCCGTGCTCGTTACCAGCGCAGAAGGGAATATTTGAACTAAGGCGACACTACTAGCGTTAATTGACATTTAAACAACTGTAAATGGAGACTTTGACTGCCAAGAATCCAAGACTAGTGGTTGTGTATGCCTGCTAACTGGACGGTTGGTAGAGACCTACTACTGTACGCAATCAGTCAAAAAAACCAAGCAATCTGCTGCAATGAAATATGCGACTCAAACTGCCTATGAAAGCCAGTTAGTATGATCCGCCTTCTTACGTCAGAAAGCCTCTCTGGCACTTTACTACGTTGCTATCGAATGATATTGCGCGGCACCGCTCATAAACGCCCTAGGATTGTTTTCTGGGTTCGAACGAGGTATGCGACAGAAAGGCACCCTCCATAACGAAAATAACGGCGTGATTATTACTGACCGTCCCAAACACGCCCGTGTCGAGGTTCAGTCCCAGGCCTTGGTTTGTCGAATGGGGCTGGAAGTTGAAACGGGTTCGAAAATCTTTCATAAAGCTGGTCAAGACTTTCATCAGCAACCAAATTGGGGCCCAATGGGACGGGATAGCAGCCGGAATCAAAATAAAATGTTGTATACATGTAACAGACACCTGTGTGACCTTAATATTTAGAGAAAATAACGATGAGCAGTAGGTAGTAGGACGCCTAGCATAAGATAAAACTACCGGGAACATCCGCTATAAACTTACAGAAAACCAGTTAATATAATAGCAGAAATGAAGAGTATATCGAGTACAAACTTAGACTAAAAGAAAGCTTTAGTAACGGAACAATGGAGGCCGCAGAGTAAAGGAGTGGAAAAGATAAACAAACGGCATGAATGTACGCAACTATTTGCCGGAAAGCAAACAGTAGGGACGGCGTAATACCTGTTGAGGTCGGTCGGCCTCCAGACGTATTTTGCCGATAAAGGTCCCATGTACGCTCCCCAAATCAATAATAAAGGCGCGATTTAAGTGTTTGTGCCAAACAAGTGCTGCGTGGACACGGGAGCAGGACTGGTGGTCGACTGAAAAGTCGCATAGTTGGCGGTTACGACCAAAGAAGTAGCAACTCTTTTCATCGATCATGAGTTTCTGTAACCAATAAAAATAAGCAAATTAGCGGCACTGTGTTTAAATATTTTCAGACATATATAAACAAGTGCAAAGTGCTAATCCCGGACAAATATACTTGTTTGAATGTTCTGTATACACTTTACATAACGTTTGTTATTGCGTTGTTGTTTTCCTTTTGGATTTGAAGTGATTGCCTGTGAGCGAGGACCGCCTGAGGTGAGCCAAGGGTAGGACAGCGCGCCGGATGTGACCTTGGACAGACCCACCAATTGAAAGTTGCAAGTCCACGACCGTGTGGACACTACCGAGTTGTTTACTTTTCCTACTCTACCTATCTTCTGGTTCGAGCTATATTAATAAACTTTGCGTAAAAGTCATCATTCTATACTGTCTGACTGTGTCGACGAATTGGATGTCGGAGAGATGAAAGTGGACTCTGACTCCGTTTAACCTGGGCAGTCGTTGGAAAAAGTATGAGGATTGCCGACTTTAGAAGGTCCCTTGTCAGACAAAGTTAAGAAGACAGCTACTCGGGTACTACATAGTTGCTTATTCTGCTGCTTTCAGCTGTGTGCGGAGGAACACTCAACTCGGCACACGCAGAGTGAGTTAATACAAGAATACGGCGGCTGAACATAACGAAAACCGCGAAATCCTTCATAAGCCTTCACATACGCTTATTCTAGGTAAGGATTCTAACCAGATGCAGTGCAAAATTAAGTACAACTCAGGCAAAAAAATCGAGGTTACTTTGGTTACCTGAACTAACTTGCCCTCTTTCATAACATCAAGATGTAGGCCTGTCGGAGGTTTCCCAGCCCTAAAAAGGAGCAATTAGTAGGAATCGCTTTTACCAAGTGGGAATTTTGTAGTTATTGACGAGGGGTTCCCCCGGCATTGACGTCATGATGAGAAGAAATAAAAGACGGTCAGGGACGAAGCTCCAAAGAAACTACGGGAGTTTCTTTTTTCAAATACGGCAACAGGCGCACCTACTTCCGACACAAGTGAAACGACCTATTGAAGAATGGAATACTGGCATCAAATGAAAAATAACAAATAAAACGCATGACCAGTTGTTGGGAGAAGTGCCCCTATGGAAGACGCCATGCATAGCTTAAAAGTTAAATATTGACTGAGCTTACTAGGTAGACGGTTAAGACGCAAAAACTAAATAGGTGACAATGCAAATAAATGAACCTTAACCGAACGGAAGGGGCAACCGAAGAATTTGGCCTTACTTTACTCTAAAATACCTAAGATGAAGTGGTCGACCATCTACGGTCGTAGAAGGGTTTCGACACTTGGAGGAACTAGAGATTATTTTATTATTTTCATTCATGCAAGACGCTAGTCGGCGTGGGAAGCATGTTTTCTCAACTTAGATTTGAGCGGCATCCAGCACGGTATTCACAAACAATCTAAACGTGGTGTATCACGCCCTCCACAAGATATTGTAGAAAGAGCGACTTTAGACGCATAAACGTCCAAAACTTAACAACTATTATAAGGAATGAGCAATGCCAAGGGATTTACTCCGAAGCAGCCATTAATAGCGGGACATTCTATTGTCAGCACACCAGCCAAACAGTCATGTCTGAATTGAAGTGGCTAAAAAGGAGGCGTAAAAACAAGTGAAAGGCAAATAAAATGAGAACACAAGCTGACAGTCATCTGAGAAAACATTTTTCTAGACTTCAGTATACTCCGTTGAAATACGGCGAACATTTGCCCTCACAAATAAACAGCATTAGAAAGGGCAACTGATTCCTTTTTTCTGCCCAATTTTCAGTCCAGTCAAAGCACACCGACGGTTGTTTGCTTACACATAATATATGCAAAAATATAACTCAAGGATGTACATGTCATATCTGGAAACTACAGCCTAATTTGCCGTCTTTTCTCGAGGACTTTAGAGTATTACCCCTAAGATAGGCACCGTGGCACCGCCGGACTCGAATTAGCTTATCAGGAGCACGGCAACACGAACAAAAAGACGTAACTGCCCATGCGGCGACAAATAACAGGGCAACTGATGGTGTAGTGCAAGATTTAGGGTAAGAATGTAGCGGCCGAGGACGTCAACAGTAACACACACCAAAGAAAGGAAACGCTGAGAAGAGGTCCTGGCGAACAGAACTGTTAATATGTGTTGGCACCCATTCACACGCAGGAGAAGAAGACACATCAAGTAAGAGATATGGTCTAATATAACCATAATGTAACCATTCAAATAACCCTGTTTAGGTGAAGGGCCGTTACAAGCATGCAAAAGACCGTGCGACAACCGATATATCTGAAATCAGCGCACTCTTTCTCCACATGTTATAGGTGGCTATAGCCACCTATGAGGAAGATGATATGTGTATGTCATCTTTAGTAAAAGATGTACAAAGTACTAATACAGGTTGCCCTGACACAGAGAGGACAGAAGGATAGTGAGCACTCAAAATGGTCAGGAATACGACTGGAATTTGCGCGATTGGGCTTTGTGATATTCGAGATCTTCTAATCATCCTTAGTCAACTTGGGCCTGAACTCCCAGCAGACCCCAGAAACGCTGTTGGCAACTTCTCGCGAATTACAGGTAGCACCGATTGGTGGCCGGGAATACGTGCATATAGGACTGAAAATGCAGATTTCCGGACTTTTACGCATGCGTAATTATTTTTACTTTGTAGCAAATTATTTGTAAGTGCAGTTGGCTACAGATGTTCTCCCCGTTTATGAGAAATCAACGACAGAAATGTGGCCTATATTGGACAGAGTAGTCCGCCCGTTTATTAGTAATGTCTTTCCAGTTGGCGTCTGTCTTAGCGGCGGAAAGCCATCTTATGTTCACGTGTTGTCGCTCACTGGTTAATGAGATAAGGTACTTTTAGGAAAGAGGAATCCAATTCGACGAAATTAGCCAGCCTGCTCACGTTGGGGTATTGGCCGTAATCTGGGATACTCTGGCCAGACCTTTTGCCAAGCTGCTTAAGAACGTGAATGCCTATCACGGATGCGAACGTTGCACAGTAGTAGGACTAAATATGGGAAAGACTGTGTACCCCGAGGAATGGGATAGGTACAGGAAAGGTTCAGACATTTGCAGCCTACTGCCGACGGCTACATAGCTGGGATATCCTTAGTTTTGTCCTGTTCATTAATACCTAATACTTATCTCTACTTTTCCCCTCGATCCTCTATACCTTATTTACTTGGGAATAGTAAAAAAGCTGCCTAGTTTGTGTGTTAGGTGTCATCGTTCGAAAGCTAGTGGTCGTAGTCAGTCGTCCATATTGAAGACAGGGAAAGTCACGACCATAGGCAATCGATTTCGCGTCACTGTCTCCTACCTACCGACAATATTTTCTCAACGGAGTAGGTCAATAAGTGTGTTTGAAACATGGAAGGCAACGGTGTTCAGGCAGTTTCTATTATCTTCTGATGTTCTTGCTCATACATTCATTCTGCCACATAAGCACTTCAAACGTTTTTGTTGCTGTTTACTTCTCTACGTTTAATAACCAACCCAGTTACGTGTAGAAGCAATGTGGTGTATTGCACGCATTTGATGAAATTGTTCACCAGAAAATTTTCAAGCTTATTCGGTGTTGAACACATGGTATACAATGTGCACAGCCTTATGCACATCGCCGACGCTTTTGAACGTCATGGTTTCCTGGATTCTATTTTTACTTTCGAAAGTTTCCTATGTAGATTAAAGCGTTTACTCAGAAGTCCTTCGTGAACTCTGCAATAGACTGCAAAGCGATTAAGCGAGGTCGAGGTAACTGCAAACGGCCAATCCGTGTTACATTCCGCTAAGTTAATTCATAGATATAATTCAGGAGTAGTTCCTGTTGGATGCGAAGGCAATGAGCAGTACCATTGTGTGCTCACAGGCTGTGTTAGGATTGACATCACAGCGGCCAATCGCCGCACCGGCATTGGCGGTAAGGTAGTTTGTGTCAATAACGTGTTGCTTGACCGAAGTTGGCGCCCGCAAATGGTATTTAGTGAACATTTCAGATTACTATGACTATCCACAACAGTCGTCTTTGATAAGGGTGTGTACGCCTGACCTCGACAACACTATCAGCCATGCACCTTTTACAAATACGTTCAGTGAGTTTATCTGCTCCCCACAAGGTACTCGTTACGCTTTAATAGAACAAATGAACAGTTTTAGGAAACCACGTGCTGTCATTTCGCCCTCGCGAACAGTGCTCGTTAGCCCTACACACGCGCAGTATACATAGGGAGAGGTTTGCGAGCATTTCAAGGAAGCTGTGGTCCTAGTGATAAGATAACTAATGTTAAAATTGACCGTCACACAACTGTTTCTTTTGCGTTTGTAGAGATTGTTCGGAGTACCAATGAGACTGCCACCACGGATACTACTTCGGCAATTACCACTGAGATTCGCTAACAACCGTTAACCAGTGACACTGATAATACTTGAAGAAGGAGATACAATCGCTGGGACAAGAGCTTTATTAGCCTGACGTTTTGGATTCCTGCTCGAACCCATCAGCAGAGGCGAACGCAGATACGGGTGGTTCATGCACAAGGGGCTACAGTATTTAGAGGATGCAGTCATCATGCTACCGCCTACCTATGACTATTCAAGGCCGACATTCGACTCGTTAATTGCTGCAATTCCATCACGTGCGTTGGATGTTGATGTGATAATTGCTCGACCATCTGACCCACCGGCCCTGGGGTTTGGAAAAGTGTTCATCTCTCAGCTCCCGCACGGCTAATTAGTACGCCTAGGCGAAGTCCCAGCACCGAGTATGTAAGGGGAGGACATTGCACTTTTTAATGGACTGGGGATCCAGTAAACCATGACTCAAGCAGCTCGCGACTCACGCGGTTGTCACCTCTTGCGAGAATTTCGGCCTCATCAAATTTGAATGGGTGACCGGATCTCGTCGAATGAACCACAACTTCAGAGCCGGCGTCATTTTCCGCACCGATACAGCGTGTTCGGCCATTCGCGTTCGGAGCTGTCTTCCAGTTTCTCCGACGTAGTTGCTTCGTCCGCAACTGCACCAGATCCGATAAACTACTCCAGAAATGTCTTGCCGTGGCAGCGGGTCTTCCGGTTTCATTACCTGACGCCTCATGGTTGCCTCCGGTCTGTGTGCAACTCCTACCCCAAGTGGTGCGAGAAGGCAGCCGACAGCCTCTGAAACGCTTTTGAAATACGGAAGCGCTCGCCAAATTTGGAGTCTCTTCGGTTAGGCCTTTCGTTCTTTGCGTATGCACCGACTGACAAAGTTGTTCGGGCAGCCATTGTCTTTGAAGACCCGTCGGAGGTCTTGCAGTGAACCGGAAGATAAAATTGCTGAACTACAATACCTCCGAAGGGTCTGCAAAGCCAATGGCCGCATGCGCATAAGGGACGAAAGGCCTAGCCGAAGGGACACCAAATTCTAGCGAGCACTTCCGTATGTCAAGAACGTTTCGGTTTTGGTTTTGCCGGTAGTACTAATCCTATGCATTTTTCGTGGCAGTAGTTTACTAGTGTGAAATCAACACTGCTGATGACCACAGTAGTGCGTTTTTGGTGATCATAAGGGCCGCCGCAATATACCTACCGTCAGTAGCAGTGCACTTTTTATTGGTATTATCACTTAGGCAGGCAACAGTACCGTATTATTAATAGTAGTGATTGTAGTAGTAGCATCGCCGGCGGTGGTACAACCCCACTTAAGTAATACTTCCTAGTCGAAAACACATTTAAGAATTTCGCCCAACATTTCATGAGATCGGTCACGCACTGTTTGAAGACAAATACACTCCCGATAGACTGAGCGGTTGGTGAAGTCAACCGACGTTATTACCGTTACGCGTTGCTGAACTTCTGCTTCTAAGCGTCGATCCGTATTACTGCAACTGCATATTCTCTTAAGT